CCTGGTCCTTCTCACACATTTGCAGAACCCCCCCCCCACGAGATGAACTACCTGACCTTACATTTTTGTCTCAGCATCTGCTTCTCAGGGTGAAAAGCAAAAACTGAGGCTGTGTGGAGGGGAGAAGATGGAAAACACGCACACGCGCGCACACACACACACACACACACACACACACACACACAATGTCAAATTTCCAAACTTAGGATTCTACTTCAGGTATTGTTTCTAAGCCCCTGATAACTGAAATCCACAAGAGGCAGGGTTTCTTCAACAGGTGTTTGGTACATCTCACACTAGAGTGGCTGGGTTTGACTCCTGGCTCTGTTCTTCATTCGATCTTCCTGCTTATACCCTGGAAAGCAGCAGGTGAAATCCAACATGGTTGAGTCCCTGCCAACCACGTGGGAGACATGAATTGAGTCCCCAGTTCTTGACTTGGTCCAGCCCTGGCTATTAAGGGGAGTTGGGGAATAAGTCAACAGATGGAAGATTTTTCTCTGCCTTTCAAATCAATACACTTAAAATCTTAAAAAAAAAAAAAAGATACAGAGAGACCCATACCTTGATCAAGTACATGGGAAGACAAGGTAGGGTGGCAGAAGGGATGCTGTTGCAAATGAGAGCAGTAAGCAGGTTTGGCTTGGGAGCCTGCAATGCAGAAAGCTTTCAAAAGAGCTGCTGAGAAATTTGGAGGTAATTTACATTTATGAGAAAGTTGCAGAACAGCGCACGTGATCTATGAAAAACGTCTGGTTTATGTCATTGGGGGGTCATTATTTTTGTGTAGAAATCTTGCTACTTCAGTAAAAGTTTGAGCAATTCACTCAACACAAGAGAAGTTTAAAAAACACTCATGGGGGTGCATCCTTTGAGAATGCTTATGGTACTTGCAAAGTTGTCTTACAGCGTCTCACTAGGCCAAGAAGAAAAACAAAATGCTACATGTGTTCTGCCTCACATTTCTCTCATTCATATTATTGGATATTTTACTACTCCTTGCATCACTGTAACACTTACCAAATGTTAGTTAGGAAATGCATTGTCGTTCTCGCTTTCAGGGTGAGGAAGTTAGAAGAAAAGTGACACACCTAATTCACCACTGACTTTCTTCTGAGCCAATCCTCCTTGCCTTCACTTATAGTATTTCTCTGGTTTGAATTGAATTAGAAATGAATATAATTTAATAGGTTTGCTCTGTAGTTCGATATTTCGTGGTTTATGAAGGAAATCATTTTGAAATGAAAGGGCATGTTTCCTATGAAGTTTTGATCTTTTCCCTGGGAGTTATTTAGGCCATGCAGCTCACATCATTTATGATCAAGATTGGTCTTTTCTTGTGGTTTCTGTGGTTCAGGAAGAGGGAAAGCTTCCATAAGATGAAGGAGTCGTCCACCTCTCCCCAGATTCTGTAGGGTCAAGAGGCACCGAGGGGAACTGAGTTCTAAAGCAATTTGCTCAAATGGGGTTCTCTCTTCATATTTTTGAAAGTTTTATTAAACCTAAATTGTCAAGCCAAGACTTGAGTATATTCTAAGGTTCTCCTCTTTCATCATAGCAGTTATTACTTTCCTCTATTTAAAGAGTCTGGGGTGGGTATTTGGCCTAGTTCTTAAGATGCCATTAAAGTGACTGTGCCCCCTCTTGGGAGTATGTAGCTCGGCTCTGGCCTCCAGCTTCCTGCAAGTTCAGACCCTGCAAGGCAACAGTGATGGCTCAGCAAATTGGGTTCCTGACTCGTACGTGAAGACCTGGGTTGAGTTTCTGGCTCCCAGCCTCAGTCCTAGCTTAACTCCTTTATGAGCATTTGGAAAGTGAACCAATGGACAGGAAATATCTATATACCTGTCTCCCCTCCCACTCATACCTCTCAAAAAAATAACTGAAAAAAATTGTTAAAACCAACAAGGGCACCTGCTAGCTGATTCTCTCTAAGAGGCCTCTCTTCTTGGGGTGCTGATAGCTGCCTCCTCACTGTGCTCCTCTTCTACCATGTCTTGTCTTTGAAATCATGCTTCTCTGATGTCTCTTTGAGTGTCCACAACTCCTTGGAAGAAAGCAGGTGGGGCTGTACCAAGGCCTGCCCTAAGGGCCTCCCTTTAACCTGGTCAGCACTTGGGAGACTGGATCTCTGTGTACTCTATGGTCTCTAGCATTTGGGTCCATCCACTCACACAGTCTTAGCCAATCTCATTCCTAACTGTAAAAACCTTCTCTCCAACTCCACATGTGTTTTGATGTGTGGACAGGGAAGGCTTCAACAGGTGGTTTCCTGGCATGACAAAGCCACCTCTGACCATGTTGAGAGTGGGTTCTTATAAGTCCTCCTTCTGAGAGGACCTAGGCTTGAGCCTTCCTGTTCTTGCTTGCAGGATCTGATTTTAGAAAGAATTCTGCTATGTCAGCTTAAAAAGAATCCTCATCCTTGACCTGGGATCATTGCTCATGTCTGACCAATTGCCTCCTCCCTACCACTTGGCCTGCCTTCAATAAGGATTCTGAAAAGTTGATTTACTCCTGAGGTTTCCTCTGAGTAGCTCTCACCTGTTGATTGGTTGCCCTAGTCTTTGGCTACAAATTGCCACTTTCCTATGCTGTGTTTAGAATTAAGTCCAGTGCTGTGCTGGTATCCCCTCTCCTCTATTGTCATAGTCTGTCTTTAGGGTCTAATTTTCCATCTCTGGTTTTCTCTAACAGAAAGCATGATTGAGTCCATGATAGAGCCACTCTAGGAAGAGAATTTCTGTTTTTCTGGAAAGTTGACACTGACCTTTTGGTCTTGAATATTCCCTGGTGGGAGTTTTGCTCTCCTGAACCCCAAGGAATGCAGATCCTGCCCACTACTGTCATCTACAACAATCCCAACAACATCTGTCTAAACCACCTGGTGATGTAGCAGGGGTCCCCCTGGTTGGCACACACAGCTGATTGAAGTAGAGTCCTAACCTGGACTCTTGAATGAGAGAGCATATTGTATTCTGCCCATCCCAGTTTGATAAAGACCTTCAGTCTATAACTTGGACTCTCTCAGCCTCAGTTTCCCTATCTGTAAAATGAGGGTAATGATATGAGAATACTTTTTAAAAATTCATGAGATGAGGGCCAATGCTGTGGCACAGTGAATTAAACCATTGTCTTCAGCACCAGCATCCCCTATGAATGCTGGTCCAAATCCTAGTTACTCCACTTTCCCTCTCAGCTTCCTGATAATGTACCTGGGAAAGCAGTGGACAATGGCCCAAGTATTTTGGACCCCCTTGACCCACATGGGACACCCGAGTAAAGCTCCTGGTTCCTGGGTTTGGCCTGGGCCAGGCTGTTGCAGCCATCTGGGGAGTAAACCAGCAGATGGAAGATTTCTTCCCATCTCTCTGTAACTCTGACTTTCAAATATATAAATTTTTTATTTCATGGGAAACCAGAATTAAAAGATGAATTTATTTCATTGCAAACAATGTGAAATCCATGCATCATTTTTGTATTATTCATTGTTCATGAACTCTGTGAAAACCTCTTTAGTCCCAACCCAAAGTTTGTAGATGAGGATTAAAATGGGCAATGCTAGAGCAGACACTGTCATGTAGCAAATCAGGCCATAGCTTGGGAGGCCCACAAATCACGTATCAGAGTGCTTGGGAACAAGTTTTCCCGGCCCTCTCATACACACATGTGCTTCTAGTCTAGCTTAATGCTAACACGCACCCTGGGGGGTTACCTGGGAGACAACAGGGGAGGGCCCCATGCTAGGTAGGGTTCCTGACATCTACAAGCGAGACCAGGAAGAAATTACACACTCCTGGACTTTGGTCTGGCTTGAGTGTTGCACACATTCAGAGAATGAACAAGTAGCTGAAGAATTTCTCTCTTTCTCTCTTTTATTTTTCCTGTATGTGTATATGTATTAATGACTCTTATAAGTCAATACATCAAAAGTGTTTAAAGAGAAGTATTTGGCAGGTAGTTGGCACCCAATGAATGTCATTGCCATTGCTGAAGACCATCCAACCCAGTGCCTGGATCTGATGGCTTAAAAAAGCCAACACTTAAGATCCTGCTGTGTCCTGCTGACTTCCTCCTCAAATCCTTTCTCAATTCAGGTAGCTTTGCATTTGTCTGAAATCTTAGGGTAAACAATGGCATAATGATTGACCTTGAACCTGAGGGGCCGCTCCACTTCAGGCCTTCTGACTTCTGGTCTGCCTCTCCCTGTCTTCTTTTCACTTTACTAGAAAGGGTAATGATGGTGTTGCATCCACAGAGGCACGCAGGGTGGTTTACAGCTCATTTAAAACCAAAACCCAATGAGAACCCCAATGCAAACATTCATGGTGTGGTTTTGACTTAGGGTTCTTTCAAGCATAGAATCGCTTTTCACATTCAAGACCAGTTGCTTTATTCCCTTAGGCCTTCATTTAGAAATGAGTGTCTCATTAATTATCTTCTTGAATACAGAATAGATGATGCTTCATTCCATTTTCACATTGGGTGACTCAACTCAAGGATCACATTACTAAGAACCATGGATGACAATTTTTCTTTGTTTCCTTCCTCTGACAAGGAAATTCACTCCCCCAGAAAGGCCACAAACACTCCCACTTACATTTGTCTTGTGTATTCATTCTCACAGATTTGGTACTTTGGGTGCTTTAGTAAGTTTCATCAGAAATGTCATCTAACTGTTTGCCGTATCAGCATATCTGGGTTACCCATATGTGGTTGTCCCATCAACACTCTTTTTGCACACAGGTGGGATATGCAATCTCCCCCTATTTTTAGGTACCGGAAGTTTGTAGCTCTTTTCTGGATGTATCAAGTTTCAGCCACAGTTACTGGAAATGCAAATGACACAGATCTGTGCCTTTTCCCTTTAGCCTTAGTTTTCCAGCCTTGAAAACCTGATTCATACTGTTATTTTTAAGAGTATAGCTAATTAACAGAGTGGCGTCTGTGAAGCTGCAAAATGTAGGACAAAAAGCCCAACCTCTGCTCTCTCTCTCTTTTGATGAGCAGCAACTTTTCTGATTTCTAGCACCTTCTTTTCACTGAAGTGATGACGCATCCTCTGCGTTGGGGGTATGCTTGTTTACTGTTTATTGCTCACTTTTGATTCATCACTAAGCGTGTTTGAAGTTCTTTTCCAAGCAGAATGGGCACTTTTTCTCTTCCGTTTAACAAAAGCTGTATCTTCATCTTTCTCTTGCTGTTTTTTTTCTTCCAATAGAACCAGTTAAACATTAACAGCCAGGAAAAAGTAATTTATTTATTAGGTATACACTTCAGAATGAATTACCCCTAAATCCCATATAATTATAAGATGGAAGCACTTTAAATGAATTCCACACAATAAAACAAAGTGAACCAATAAAAAAAAATACACAAACAAAGGAACCAGATGAACTGTGCAAAGTCAGGTGGAGAAAACACGTTTGTAAATAGCTTCTGATTATGGGCTTAAACAGAATTGAGTCCTGAGCCCAAAGAAGCCTTTCAAACTAGTTATAGGCAATTTTTCAATGGATAATAGCACTGAGAATATTTTTGCATTTGTAAGGAGGTACCCTTAGATAAACAAACCCCAAACCCTTGCAAAGGAGGAGCAAAGAACACCAGAGAGAACAAAATCTGATTGTGGGTGGTATTAAAGCACTCCATAAATGATGATTGATGGTGTGAATAAGCTAAGAATGGGAGCAGACTCAGCAGGACACACACAAGTCCTTAACTATGTGTCCTTGAACTTGCACTGTTTCTCTTTGGGTCTCTCTGCAAACTCAGGGATGACCCTGAGCCCTGAGCAGGACTTCTTAGAAGGACAACTGACATAGAAGACCTTCCAATTCAGTCTTCTCTGAGCTCCATATCCATACCACACACCTGAGCTAATCCACTCACCTCTCAGGGACCCTAGCTGTCTCTTGTGTGAGGTGTGGATTAATACGGAGAGAGCGCTTTGCAAACCCAGTGCTCAGAACATTACGATGACCAAAGCCTGGAGGGGACTCACCTTCCCGGGTGAGGCAGAGGAAGTTTGCTCATCCACACAACATGACAAATTCTCTTTGGCCATTCCCTGAAGATGCTGTGAATGAGACAGGCAGTGGGACAAAATAAATAAGAGAAATTAGAACTAATCTCGCCATCCTGACACCATAATATTGGCCATTCATGAGATCAGCATGAGTTTGCCTTACCCCACCTAAGAGGGCCAAGTTTTTGGCATTTTGTATATAAAGGGATTCTGTCCAAGCCATGTGGAAAGTTTGCATTGATACCAAAGGAAATGTGTCACCTCTAGGGGAGTTGTGTTTTTGCTGTCTCCAGTCTTCAGGTTCTGCTTCAAGCCTCATTTTTGGTTCCCCAACAGCTGTCAGAACCACGCCGCCACCACAAACTGTCCCCTCTAGTCAGAGGGACAGGGTCTAGCAAATAATAATAATAATAATAAACAACACTGAATTAAGTTGGAATCTCGGTTCCCCAAGAAGTGTTTGTCAGCAGAGTTATATCCCAATTACTTGAAAGAGTGTGTTTACACATGCTCCTGGAGTTGGGGTGCAGTTACATCCTGAAGACTCCATTATGAATGGAAAATATTGCAAAATGGAGATGCATCTAAGGAGTAGGCATTTAGCCTGGCAGTTACAATGCTGCTTAGGGCTCCCATGACCCATGTGGCATATCAGGATGCCTGGGTTCAACTCTCGGCTGCTGGCTCCTGCTTCCTGATACCACAGACGCTGGAAGGAAGTAACGGTGCTTCAAGCACTTGGGTTCTTGCTTTAATAGGTAGGATGCTGGGATTGAGTTTCTGGCCCACACCTCTGGCCCTAGCCCAGTCCTGACTTTAATAAGCATTTGGGGGAATAAATCAGTAAACATCTCTGTCTCATTTTGTGTCTCTGAGCTTTTAAAATATTTCCAAATGCATGTACTAAATCTAAACTAATGAGCAACATAGCTTAGTCTAGCCTAAGTTAAACATGTTATAGTCAAACAGAATCTTCTAATGCAAAACCTGTTTTATAAGAAAATGTTAAATGCCTTATATACAGACACAGATGTGCATTTTGATTATGAGATATAAAAACATGAAATGCAATATTCAAAAATACCCTTGGACATGCAACAAACTGAAGGGTAAAGGCTGGCTGAGAGCTGTGTTCCCTGCCGTTGCACAATACCAACAGAGAGGATCAGAAGGTATAGTGCCAGCCTGGGGGAAAGACCCAAATCCAGAGTGCAAAGGTCAGGGGCAGGTGGACATTGTTCTGCAGGTTAAGTTGTGCTTGGGCTGTCTGCCTTCCATCTAGGGTTGCCTGGGATCAAGTCCAGCCTCTGCTTCCAATCAAACTTCTGCTAATGTGTGTCCTGGGAAATACTTAATGATGGTTCAAGTACCTGGGACTCTGTGACCCTCATGGGAGACCAGAATGGGGTTCCAGGTACCTCGCTTCAGCATGGCTCAGCCATAGATGCTGGGGACATTTGGGGACTGGACCAGTAGATGGACAGTCTCTTTGTGTCCATTCCCCCACCTTGTTTTTCCTTTCAAGTAAATAAATAATCCAAAGTTCAATTGCTGCTAAATGTATATCAATTCCACACCATCATAAAATCAACAAATCACTAAGTAAAGCCATTGTCAAAGCTAAATACTTACTCATTGTTGATCTTAAATTCACATTTAATAGACAACCTAGACAATGATAAGGCAACCCTAACCCAACCGCTGGGCCAAATCTAGAAGGTTCTTTTGCTTCTTCAGGAAGAAGCATGAGTTTTGTTCCCCTCAGAGGTCCACATTGAGAAATGGAAGAGCAAAGGAAAGGCAGGGATATTCTTGGAGTAGGGACAGAACGTGGCTGGTCACTTGGGGATCTGACTTCTGACGTCCTCTGTAAGTCACCACCAGAACAGGCCTTAGCCGTATCTGAAGACTCACCTGCTGAAGTGCAGGTCACAGGTCTGCCTGGAAGAGGCTGACCACACGTGTGCTGATGTTTCCCACCTGCACACTGGCCCAACCCTCTCTTCTTTAGTGAGATGCACAGATGGCCCTTCAGAGAGCCAGTGTTCCTTTCAGATACTTATCTCAAGATTGGCTCATCATATTACAGAACTCCTTGGCAACCAAGTAAAGCTGATGTTTGAATTAGATAAACATGTTCTGTATTTTAGATATTTTTCCTACTTTTTCAGTGTAGGTGAATGTTTGATTTTAATTTTCTATTATTTTTAGGATAAGAAATAATAATCTTCTGAAGATATTTTTACATTTTCAGGTAAGCCCTGTCTAAATCTTGTCAAAATAATGGTTGTTATTTCTGCTCTGATTTGTATCTGGTACATTTTGATTTAGCCACTGCATCATCTGAACATTTGTTCATAAATTGAGGCTGTGATATTATAAAATGCCATTTCAAAGATGAATTACGAAGTGTTATATGGAAAACTGTTTTTGAGTGAATTATCTAGTTCTCCCATTTGCCAAATATCAATTTAGGGTCATAAACATGATTACGCAGAGGAAAGCATCTCAAGAACCCTTCTCTGCGATGCTGATTAGCTGATAAATAAAGCCACCATGAAAACATCACACATGTAGGAAAACTGCAAATCATATTGGATGTTTAAGCAGGAACAATGTTATTTTTCATAAAATTTGGGCTGGGCAAAATGAGGTCATTTACTTGTCAAAATGCTATAGGAAAGTTCCATGATACTAAGGTTAATATTTCTGTAATCCCATTTCAAAGCTATCTCAAGCTCTGTGTAAATGTTTTAAATTCGTTGGTAAGTTATAAGCATGTTGAGTAAGAACATATGGTATAATAATATCTAAAAGGGCACTTTACCTATATTCTTTCATGTTCTCCTGGCAACTTTGCAAGGTAAGTATGCTTGCTTCATTTTATAGATAAGGGAACTAAGACTATGAGATGTTGAATACACTGTGCCGGGAATGGCCGTGGCTAAGACATGAACCTTTGCCCTGCTGGCGCCAAATGCATACAACTCTATTGCTGTCAGCAGGAGCACTGCACCAACATAATTAGATAAGGTGGAAAGTATAAACTTTCAGGCCTGGCATGACAGCCTATTGGCTAAAATCTTCACTTTGCCCCAGGATCCGATATGGGCACTGGTTTGTGTCCCAGCTGCTCCGCTTTCATTCCAGCTTCCTACCTGTGGCCTGGGAAAGAGACAGAGGATGGCCCAAAGATTTGGGACTCTCCACCTATGTGGGAGTCCTGGAAGAAGCTCTTGGCTCCTGGATTCAAATAAGCTCAGCCCTGGACTATAGGATCCTTTAGGCAAAGAAATCGGCAGACAGTAGATCTCTCCCTCTCTGGCTGTCCCTCCCACTCTCTGTGTCATGATGCATTTCAAATGAATAAGTGCATCTTTTCAAAAACAATCAATAAAAAATGAAGATGGGATCAGCATTTGGCCTAGCAGTTAACCTGCCAGTTAGGACACACATGTCTGTCGTCAGTGTGTCTCGGTTCAGAACCCGGCTCCAACTCTTAATTTTACCTTCTGGCTAATGCAGACCCTGGGAGGGGGCAACAGGTGGTTGTGTGTATGACTGGGTTCCTGCCACCCCCATGGGAATCCTAGATGGGGCGCTAAGCTCCCAGCTTCATCCTGGACCAGGCCCCCGCTGCTCCGGCACTTGGGGTATGAAACAGCAATTAGGAGTCTTCCTATCTTTCTCTCCTCTTAAATAACTAAATAATTGTAAAGATTTACATACTTAAAAGATAGCAGCACAGAGAAAGATATTTTCCATCCTCTGATATACTCCCATGATGACCAGGGGCTAGGGCAGACTGAAACCAGGAGCCTGGAAGCCCCTCTGGGTTTCCCTTGTGCACTGCAGGGGCCCAAGCACCTGCGCCATCTTCTGCTACCTCCCCAGGCTCATTTGCAGGAAGCTGGATCAGAAGCAGAGCATTTGGGGTTTGAATTGCAGTTAAGGTTAAAAGGGGCTTAACCTGCTGTGTCCCAAAAACCTTTTTCTAATAAAGACAGAAAAGAAAGATAATTTCAGAGAATTGATCTTTTTGGACTCATAAATTACTTTAGGTGAATCCTAAATTCAACTCTGAGTATCCCATCAGCCAAGTACAAGTTGAGTTAACCTATTTCTTTCAAACTTAAAAGATTAATAAATAAGCTCTTCGCAAAGACAATCTTCTTCTTTCCATGACTTGACAGAAGAATTTTTTACCTCATTTCTCTTTGAAGAAATGCTAGCTAGAGGCTGGCATTGTGGTACAGCAGGTCCAGCAGCCACCTGCACTGCGCACATCCCATGGGAGTGCTGGTTTGAGACACTAATGAAATTTTTGGCTCCTGGTTCCCAGCTTCTGGCTTCAGTCTGGCCCAGCCCTAGCTATTGTGACCATCTGAGGAGCAAATCGGCATTTGGAAGATCTTTCTGTTTCTCACTGTTTCTCTGAAACTGCCTTTCAACCCAATCAATCTTGAGAAGAAGAAAAAGAAGAGGTGGGTGACAAGGAGGAAAAGGAAGAAAAAGAAGAAAGAAGACGAGGGTGGAAAGAGGAGAAGGAGGAGGAGGAAGGGGAAGAAGAGGGAGGAGAAATGGCAGTTAATGTGACAAATATTGGCTCACTTTTATCTTTGATTTTGTAGAACTACAGCTTTGCATGAGCCAATTCGAGTTGAGGCTGAACTGCTCCTAAGGTTGTCAGCCACCATCGTTTGAAAGCAAAGAGATTTTGGCATACGTTGACATGCGATGTGCATGGATGTTGGTTATATAAACCATCTTTGTTTGCAGAAGGATTAACATTAAATTGAAATTCATTAAGGACATTTACGTAGCAGGCTGCTGTCTGGACGCAGGTCAGCAGCTTTCCCTTTGTGGGAAACTACTTCCAGCTTTGTGAACAGGTGGTAACCTTAGCTGCAATTCCTCAACTCTGCTGTTGCAGCATCAAAGTAGCCAGCAACTGGACATGAGTGAACGAGTGTGGCTGTGTTAGGAAACTTCATTTACAGAAGCTGACAGCGAGCCAGATCTCACCGATGGGCCCTGTTGGCTGGTCCCCA